CACCTCACGCCCTCAAGCTCCTCCCCCCCACCTCATGCTCTCAACTCTCCTCCCCCCACCTCACGTCCCCAAACTTCCCTCTGCACACCTCACGCGTCCAAACCCTCCTCTCTTCACCTCATGCGCCCAAATCCTTCTCTTCCCTCTCTCACACACCCCTAACTCCTCCTCTCCCTTCCCTCCCAGGGCTCTATATCCTCGTCTCCTTCAAACCGCCTCCAGAGTTACCCCGAATTCTCTCTCGTCCTCTAAAACTCGCTCTTTTCCCTTAAAATAGGTCCCCTCAAAATTCCTTAATTCCCGCGCGACCGCGGACTCCTGGCTCCCATAACTCACGAGAAGAAGGGATCATCCTCAAAACTGCTGCTCAGCATCCTGAACATTCTGGCTCTGTCTTGGGCGGCGGCAGCCGCGGACAGATTGGAAAACCGATGTTAACTAGCCGCGGCCGCGACCGGAGCCTGCCTCCAGCACTGACGACGCCTCACTCGCTGCGCAGGCGGTGCCCGCCGGGAAAGGAGGTGCGTGACGCCAAGGTGCTTTCCCATTGGACATTGCTCTGTGACGTCACCAGGACGAGGCGGAGAGCAATGCGCGGCTGCCCTGGCAACCACAATCAACACAGTGGAGGCGAGAAGTTTGGCCTTGCGCCGGCCGGGCAGCTTTTCACCAAGGCTCCCGTGGGATGGGATAGCTTGTTCTCTGGGCTGCAGGAACCAAAACATTAGACCACCCTTTCTGTGACCTTGGGCATGCCGCCCTCGGTTCCGAGCCACAAGTCTTTTTTTTCGGGGAAAATGAAAAGGGGTCAAGATTTGGACCAGATGACACCCAATGTCCCATTCAACGGTCGCATTCTGTCATCCACAGGAATTAGTCCTGTATCCGAAACATTCTCTGGTAGTCAAAAGCTGTGAACAAATAATGAGAAAAAAAATGTGCAAAACGTTTTTTAGTACAATTAGCAAATAGTTCTTGAAGGAAATGGGATGAAGCCTATTAGATTTCAACAAACTTTTTTACCTCTTGTGAGTTTGAAACTCAAAGCAATAATGTTTCCCAAAGTGGGAAACGCTTAAGTAATATGTAGACGTAGTATTAAAAAATAAACGAGAAAGCTACTCTCTGTTCGGTTGTCTTTCTGTGTCTCTCTTTCAAAGATCAAGTCTCACTTTGATTCTGATATGTTTTTAACACTTCTCCAGCATTTCTTAACAGCAGGATTCAGGCACAGGCCTGCAGCAAGCAGCCGTATCCAACTAAAATTCCACTACCATGTATTTTTGTTTGCATTACATTTAGCAGGGAGCTTTCCATTTATGGCAAGGAAACTGATTTTAAATTTAAAGCAGTGCTATACATTAAGAGCTAGATTTTGCATTTTTAAGTGAAAAAGTAAGCTATCGAATAGAACAGGTGGGATTTGGATATGGTGGGGCAGGGGGTTAGGCAGAGCAGGGGAGGGGAACATCATGATAGTGGTACTCAAATTACTACGTTTTAGAAAACACTATCACGGGGCCTTTCAGGAGCCTGGAGACAGATGGAGGAGAAGACAGAAGAGAGATTAAGTAAGGAGAAGAACGGTAAGAGTTTAAGAAAAGAGAAAATACATCTTGCATGTCCACCCTTAATTCAGTGGGCTGGCTCCCCAGCTTCTCTACAGGGCTGTCTTGCAGAGATAAAGGGGCATCCATAGCTCATCAGGGCCCCCTGGGATCAGGCCAGAGGGGTGGCACTTTGCCAGCATGAAGAAGTGTGCAGGGCCTGATTTGGAGGTGACAGGAGTAGTCAGGGGTTATTTTGAGAGCTGGAAATTTAATCCTTTGGACCTTTTACTCCCCACCCCCGCTTTTTAGCCAAGTTCTCTGCCAGCTTCCTTCCCCTGAGACTAGTAGCACGAGGTAGGGCAGACTTCACAGCCCAAGATGAGATGGCACAGCCCATCCAGGGAAGAGGATATTTTCTTTTCCTCTGGACTCAGAATAAAGCTCTGAGAGCATAGATACACAATTTCTAAAATTTCTAAATAAATTTCAAGGCAAACAAAATTGTTTTACAAGACCTTAAATTGTTTTCCTCTTTAAAATAGTACAAGCCCAAGATGTGAAGGAGGCCATACTTAAAAAAACTTGAAATGGAGTAAGTTATGTGATAAAAGATAGTATTACAATAGTTCTGGATTAAGGTCAAGTAAATTTGTAATGTTACCCTCTAGTTTCCATGGGAATTTTTTTAGAATCATATTGTTACAAAAGCTTTAGTCCAGGCACAGATTAGTTAGGGAATTAGCTGAAGCCTGTGAAAGCAGTTTGGATCTAACGACAAATGCAAAAAAAATAGGAGGGCACAGGAGAGTTGGCACTGAAGAGACCTTGACATCATTTTCAGAACTGATGGGTAAGAGGTGGAAATGAAAGAAAGGGTGGGTCAGGAGAGAATGAATACTCCAGCATGGGAGGAATAGAGAAGCAGAACAGAACTGAGAGGAGAGGGTCCTGGACTTGGCTGTAAATATCATCATAATAGCTAATACTTATTGAATGTGTGCCAGGCACTGTTGTAGGCACTCCAAATGCATTACCTCATTGAATCCTCATTAACAGTTTTATGTAGTAGAGATGGCTTTTATCCCCATGTATAGATGATACATACATTCAAGACACAAAGAAGCTGAATAAATTGCCAGGGTTCACACAGCTAGTGATTGAACTGAGCTGGGTACCTGGAGCTTTCCTCGGTGAGTGCTGGGTATATGGTATGTGAGTCAGGAGTCATACTTAAAAGATGCAGGATGAAAGCTGGTAATCATTTTTCAAAATCACGCTGACAAGCTAAGCGGACCCAAACTAAAAAGTACAAAATTCAGTGAGAATATATTCAAATCACATAAATTCAATTCCACAAATATTTATTGAGTGACTACCCAGTATTGGGGACTGATCTACAATCTTAGGCATCATTGAACAAAATGGACAAAAATCTCCTTCTTGGAGTTTATGTTCTTGTAAGGACAGACTCAAAACAAACAAAATAGAAAATAGTATATTGTAAGGTGATAAGTGTTAGGCAGAAAAGCTGATCAGGGTAAGGAGTATGGAGAAGTGCAACTATAAATAGCAAGTTTTGTGTATGCCTTACTAAGGGGAATTTAAGCAAAGATCCATAAGAAGGAAGTGGATGTCTAGTGGAAAAGCATTCCAGACCAGTGAAATCCTAAAGTAGCATTTGAGCATTTGCCTGGTATCTATAATGTACAGTTCTACTCATATGTCTTAAAACTCACCTTCCGAGTGAGGAATGAGATGAGCGAAGTAAATAGAAAAATTGCCTAATAGTATAATAGCTCTCATTTACACTTCATATGTTCCAAGCATTGCACTAAGTGCTTTACATATGTTTTCTCATTTAACCTTTATAGCCACCATGTCTAATATTATGTTTGTCTGTATATTACATATAAAAAAGATGGAACCCAGAGAAATTTGATAATTGAATTTTGATAATTGATTTGAAAGTTGATAATTTGATTAAATTTTAATAATTCAAATTCGATGTCAATTCAAACCCAGATTTGTCTTACCTCAAAGCCTATATTCTCACTACCATCCATACTTTGCCTCCCTATTTTAAAAATTAACTATTTATGGAGCAAATATTTGCAGTAAACACTTTTACATATATAATCTGTAACTACACTGTTGCTTAGGTTTCATTTGGAAGGACACTGACTAAGGAAATACAGAGAAAAGCATGAAACCCAAGCCAAGTCTGCAACTCTATTAAAAACACCAAGACTTCAATATGTAAGTGATTTCATGTTTCTTTCATTGATTTATCAAATACTTATTAAGGACTAGTAATATCCCAGACATTATTCTAGACATTGAGGTTACAAAACTGCCTGGCCTTTTGGAACTTACATTCTAGTGGACAGCTCTTTCCCCAGCTAATTTTACAAATACTGTTGTTACAGCACCTCAGAATTTTCATAATGTTTCTGAAGACATTATCTCATGTGCCCAAAAGAAAATAAACAGGCTCTTGAGTGCTGAACTTTTAACTTAATTATAGCTTTCCAGAGCCATGAGTATTAGGCCATTACAAACACCTTTACCACAATTAAGTTCAATGTGTCTAGGGTTTCCTTGTCCTAATCCCTTTGTCTTAAACAGTGCATAGAGGTCCTCTGAGAATGAGATGCCACAGCAAACTCACAAGGGTTATGGGACAAATTTTGAGAGAAACTTGGCATGCGTTAGACATTGTGCAATGTGCTAGTTTAGGGCAGTTCGTGTATTTCAATATTAGATTGCACTACATTGTTTTAGATGATGTCATATCATTGGAAAGGTAGGTTTTTGAAAGTGACTATGATGAAAATGAAGTGCCTGTCAAAGTGTAACAGGAAAGATTGGCGGCAACATTCGGTCTGTTTCTAAGATTTGAAAAATTGTGCTGTGCTAGGCAGGCACCCATCTGTTAGTATGATTATTTAAGAGTTATACAAAAATATGTTTCTTTCAATTTATGTGCATTATTTTTTGAAGTTACTAAGTTTTTAGGTCAGAAATATGCTGTTTGCATCTAAATTATACAACAATGGACCTATTCAGTATTTCTTTAGACCTAGGGGGCACAATGAAAAAATTACTGAGGAACTAAGGGTTCATGAACTAAGATAGTTTGGGGACCTCTGTCTAACCCCACAATCTTTCTTTCAAATTAAAAAGAAATTTAAAATATCATGCATTCATTTTCTAAGAAATATATGTTTCATTTTATTATTCATGTTTATCTTCTTTCCAGTCAGCTGACTTACCAGTCTTCTAATAGCTTTGCTTTATATCCTTTTGAGAGATGGGAAAATGGTGCATAGCAATTAAGTGACCTATAAGAGCATAGATCCCAAGGTCCTCAAACTCCCAATAGGGCTGCCTCTAGTCCATATGGCATCTTTGCTCAAATTAGAAAAAGTGCCTCCCTCTCATGATACTTCTATTAATGAGAAATTTGTCTTAATAAATATACAAGGCTGTAATGTATATGATTTGACTGGTGCTCTCTTAGGTGTTGTATACACGTCCATGGCAGCACTGTTCCTAATCTTGAATTCTTTCCACTACATACGTTTTAATTGAGTGCCAAGCTTCACCCCCAAACTCATGTGCAAGAAATGTAATTTTATTTTCCTGCAATCAACCTTAACTTACCTTCTGGGCTTACATTCCACGGGGAGTCATTCCCATTTCCTTTTCCAGGGAGACAATGCCAAGGTGTAGTTGGTTGCTAGCCATGCTGCATTCCTAAAGTCATCTTTATTGCCCTCACTGGGTAGGGCCAAGGGCACTAAACATCTCACTCACAGTCTGGCACAATGAATTGTCCTTCCCTAAATAGCAATCCTCTCCTTTTAAGAAATATACTCTCTAGAGCAAATGTTTCCTCCAGTGAAGCAAAAATTTAAAGAAGAATTGAGTTAACAAAGGAAA